TGTGCCAGGCACTGTTCTGAGTGTTTTACACATATTATTTGATTTTACCCTGAAAACAATCCTATTGCTGACCTCACTTTAGAGATGTGGAAACTGTGGGTGAGTTTCCATCACTTGCTGGTGCACCATGGAGCTAGGATCATCACTCAGGCAGTCAGTGACCGGATGTTGAGCTCACTTACTGCACTCAGGGTTGTCTGGTAGTGCAGACTGTAGAATTTACTTAATAATTAAGTAAATTATATTTAACATGCTCTTCATCTCTATTGCACAAAGCACTTTTACATGCTTTATCTCACTTTATGCCTCCCTTTTCTGTACATTACATATAGGAATACATAATTGAATGTATTGTCCTTATTAAAGAATTACAGCTGTTGTTAAAGACTGCTGGTTTACACCTTCATGAAGCTTTCTCTCACAAGCTGCTTTCATTTCCTTTATGGTTTCCTTTATCAAATACATTAAAAATCATGGACATACATCAAAAGATACTGGTTTGTAAGTCGTTAATAGAGAGTTAAAATTTTACATTCAGCCATGCTTATGAATGAAATTATAATTTATTTTCTTCATTAATTATTAGAGAATTTTAGAAAAAATATCGGAAAAAAGAAGGCAAGAACACCAACCAAAATATTAACGCTTTCAGATTTCATGATGATTGTTTATTATTACCTGGTGGGAGAAGGAGAGTAGACATAAGCGACATTCGTAACCACTAAGGGCATGTAAGGAAGCCTGGTGGTACAGTGGTTAAAGTGCTCAACTGCTAACTGAAAGGTCAGCAGTTCAAACCCACCAGCTGCTCCACAGGAGAAAGATGTGGCAGTCTGCTTCCATAAAGATTTACAGCCTTGGCAACCCTGTGGGGCAGTTCTACTCTGTCCTATAGGGTTGTTATGAGTTAGAGTGGATTCTGTCACGAGATGTTAAAGGTACGTAGGGGGCAGTGGTGGTTCAGTGGTAGAATTCTTGCCTTCCATGTGGGAGACCCCAGTTTAATTCCTGGCCTGTGTACCTCATGTGCAGCCACCACCTGTCTGTCAGTGGAGGCTTGCGTGTTGCTATGATGCTGAACAGGTTTCAGTGGAGCTTCTAGACTAAGACAGACTAGGAAGAAAAGCCTGGCAATCTACTTCCAAAAATCAGCCAATGAAATCCCTATGGATCAAAACTGATTATGGGGATGGTACAGGACCGGATAGTGTTTTGTTCCATTATGGAAGGGTTGCCATGAGTTGGGGCTGACTCCATGTCAGGTAAAAAACAACAACAAGGGTATGTAAGAGCAATTTTTGAATTGCCTCCTTAAAGGTAGCCAGTTATTCTACTTTCTCCACCATTATGGCTCTAAGGAAAGGGACAGGCTTCGTGTTTAGGGGATTCTTTGTTGCAATGAGGCTCCTTTTTAAAATTGAGGTATACTTCACATACCATAAAATTTGCCGTTTTAAAGATAAGCTGTGATGGGGTGGAGCACAAAATAAATCCAAAGGACAGGATGGATGTTTCTGCGCATTTAGTTGTTCTGTTGTTCATTATTATGCAATACTCAAAATTCTGTATTTTATCCAAAGAGCTGGTTATTCAGATGAAGATAAAATTTAAGCAGCCTCAGTTACGCGTGATATAGTATGTCAGACCCCAGGTTCCCTAAACAACAGTCTCTGAGGCAAAGATATTTAGCTGGCAAAAATACTTGAAGTCTATATGCAGGCATCTTTAGCGTATTTATATAAATTATAAGGTAGTGTGACCTGAGAAGTCCTGTGTTTAATCATTATAGTTTCCTTGATTCATAATCAGAAATACCGATTTAATAGCAAGCCCACCTTTCTTCAATGAGTTGAATAGTTCTTATCGGCGAGTTGAATAACGTGTGCAAAAGATTAATGCACACATTAGAGGCAGAAACAAAAGGACCTCATTTCCAGAAAATGGAAAGATTTCTTACAAATCACTTAATCAGTTCTATGATGAAATGCCAGGGGTCAAAACACCATTAATTGTAGTACCACAAATAAAGAATGGTTAATGTGTTTCATTAGGTAGTGACTAGCAGAGAAGAAAACTGGAAGAAGAGAAATGAGACCAACAGAGGAAAAAGTAGAAAATATCAGGGTAGGATGTGAGGAAAGAGGGAGGTTCAGAAACCATAGAGGGCAGAGAGCAGCATCTCTTCCCAACTGTCTAATGTTCCACTCTGTGAGACTGTAACCTAGATGATATTACTTCATTCTTTTATTGTAAGAAAAATATTACCTAACAATACTAAATATTATATTAAATATTACTGTTAGGTAATATTTTTCTTATAATAAAAAAATGAAGGCAGTTCATTTTAAAAGGGTAAGACAATGTAAGTAAGAGCAACAATGTAATTATCTTAAAACAATTGGATTGTTTAGCCAAGAACCAGGTTTGGAAGAATTAGTGACACTTTATTTTGAGTGATAAGGTTGACACTTTTTTCAAAGCACTTTTGTTAATATAAGTCCCCAGTGCTTGGAGACACACCCCAATAAGCATCCAGACTGTAGACATTTTATATGAAATTAAGGTTCAGGAGATAAGAAAACCAGGCGACAGTGACAGTGCTCTCAGGGAAATGGGGTAAAGAGCATGTATTTTCAAGAGCTCTGAGGACTTTCCAAGGAGCCCCTGGGTGGCGCACATGGTTAAGCGTTTGGCTATTAATTGAAAGGTTGGCAGTTCAAATCCACTCAGAGGCACCTCTGAAAAAAGTCCTGGTGATCTGATTCTGAAAGGTCAGAGCCATTGAAAACCCTATAAAATACAGTTCTACTCTGACACACACGGGGTCTTTGTGAGTCAGAAACGAGTCCATGGCAACTGGTTTTGGTTTTTTTGGGAACTTCCAATCACATTTTGTGGAAGAAATATTGCTTTGACAAAGGTGAATTGTCACCCTAAATAGATAAGAACTAAGAAATTCTAAAGAGACATATGATGCTGTCTCATAAAAATCATTTATTGGCACAGCAGAAGTGACAGTTTTTTCTAGTATGGTAGCTGTATGCATCTATAATTGCAATTCAGCGTAAACTACGTGTTACAAATCACTGGAAATCTAATTAACAGGATGGATTTAATAAAGAACAAGAATCACTATGAGTCTACAGCGGCCCAGCCATCGAGGCTCATTGGAGATTAAATCAAATATCAAACTAGTGTTGCCCAGCAACAGAGATTTTCTGTAGCCAAGAAAAACCACGACAGACATAAACAGGATAGCACCCATTCAATAAATTAGGCACACTTAACTAGAAAAACGTAACTGATAGAAACAATCTAAATAAAGTAACACAAAAGTAAATAATTAGCTATTTACATATATGACTTTTTGCCCAAACTTTAATTTGTTAGCTTTCCCATCCTACCTCACCTCTCCCTTTTCGTTAATCTTTTATTCATGATGAATTGCTTGGCTCACTGGCAAATATTTAGGCAACTAATCAGAACCTCCTGAAATCTTCCTAGGTCCTAAATTTTCTAAAAGTTCATGTTGATTAAAGAATCTGAAACTCTATGTAGAAGTAATAAGCACTATAACTCTGCTATCAGTCATAGCGATGACAATTTCATTTTCTTCCAAACATTATTTGAACTACTTTAGAAAGTTAGGTTGTGAAGGGCAGCAGGGTGGATGAAATTTTCATTTGCAGCAGGCACAGGGTAGTATACACGGTGAAAAGCATGTTTATCTTGAGAATGTGAATGCCACGGACTGCAACTTAAGGTCTCCTGTTACTGAGAATGGTTCCTCCTCCCTCTGGTCACTACTGATATGTCCTTGGTTAGCATATTCTCTCAACTAGAAAATAATGAACACCTGCCATCCATTTTTAAGGCTTAGTGTCATCGCAGCATGAACAAATAAGGAGACTAATATCATTACTACCAAAGAGGGCTCTGGGATGAGCCATTGTTAAAACAGCACAGTTGAAAAGTCATTGAGTTGGTATGTAGAGGGGGGCAATGCATTTGTCCTATGGCCAGAATGCGTGAATTTTTAGCATCATTCTGGGTATCTGAAAGTTCTTGCCAATGAGCCTCTTTGCCCCCTGTTTGTTTCCTTTGTAGCACATATTATAATTTGTAATTATTTGATTTGATTTTTGGTTTATTCTCCTACTAGAATATAAGATCCAGGAGGGCAGGGACCTTGCCTGTCTTATTCACCACTGTGTCTCCAGTGTCTAGAACAGTGCTTGGTCCATAGTAGGTTCTCAGTTAATAATTGATATCAAATAAATGAACCAAATCATTAAGTCTCCTGGTCTGCATATGTCTAGAAACTTTCCAATTTCATACAATGGCCAGGGTTTCAGGCCTGTCCAATTATTAGGCTACCCTAATTATCATACCCCGCTGTGAACCTTTGTGCAGCTGAATAGCTGATATTTCTGTGCTTCAGTGGATTAGTAAAACTTCACAATGCTAGATTCATTCTATCCAGTTTCCATAGATTAGCTATGCAGAACCAACACTGCATGAGAAGTAACAGGACAAGAACATTCTAGGAGGTAAACTGCAATCTCCCAAGTCAGCTTATTCTTCCATACTTCCCCCTACAACCTCTTTATCTGCTAGAAAGCATAATAAAAAAGTCATCAGGAGGATTTTCTCTTGGCAGTGCCAGTTCAGTAAGTTGCCAGTAAGATATGAGAAAAAAAACAACATATAACAACATATAAAAAACTAAGATAAATAAAAGCAAAATTTGGGAGTGACACGGTGGGTGGTCTAGGTCCTGTGTTGGTTGGAATTGCTGAACATGGAAGTGAATGCAGGTATTACAGCAGTGGAGAAGCTGCAAGGGAAGGGGGCAGAGCTGTGGGGTGTGAAGACTGTAGATGACCAGCTTTTCTCTCCTCCTTCTCCTTCTCCTCATCCCACTGCACGCTGGCTGAGCTCCTCGCTGTCGCTCTCGGGCGGAGGTAAGAACAGGCAGCTGGCACCTCCACAGCGCATCCTTAGGCTATTGATGCTCTGCTGGAGTAGAAGTCAGGGACTGGGAGCCCAGTGTGAAGCGTGACCTGGGGAAAGAGACTGTGAGTCCTGCAAGACACCCCAGGCACCCTCCTTTCCCTGTACCCACTGTACAGCGGGTGTGCTCCTAATACAAAAAAGGGATTTTCTCACTTCTCTTTAACATCGGTTTTCAAGGGCCAAGTAGAAGTCTGCGTATGGTAACCTGGTGGGCTCCCAAATCCTTGGTGACACCTAATAACATGGTTCTCATCTACTTTCTTTTAAGAAGTCTAAGGAGAATATATTTCTTGTGACCAAAGATACAGGCCTTGATTTGTAGGTAGCAAAGTCTGTTGGCCACACTGCAGTGACCACTGCCAACTTCATGGGTGGAGAACAGCTTAGCAGAGACAACTTTTCTCTTATTACATGTCCACTGGCTATTCAAACTAGGGTAAACCTTTCATTCTGGGCTTGCATACATTATTGCCAGTTATGAAGAAGCATGGCTACTTATACTGTTTCACCAATTTCTGTTCAACTCTATGCCTCAATGGATAGCTACATAGAAAAGACTAGAACCATTTCATCTGTCATTTCTCTGCTTCTTTATCTTCCCCAGACCTCAAGGGCCTTTATCTGAAGATACTCAGAATGTCCTGGAAACCACTGAAGAGCACCTCTAGTATATTTTTTGAAAGGCAGACACTCGCAAGTGTGGAAAATTCTGAATGAAGTTTTTCTGAGACTCACTTTTGGGCAATTTATGGTTTTCTTTCTTGCAATGTAGAGAGGTTGAACCCTGAAATATTAGATTCCAGCCTCCCAGAAAACCTCATCTAGTTGCAGGAATGAGAAGGACAGGGGTCACTTGTGATGGAGCCTGTACTGTCTTTTTGACTGGGTTGCAGTCACTTTTACTACATGTTCTGATAAACAACGATGATTTCTTTTTGTTTCTTTCTCTCCTTTATTTAAAAAATAGCTCCCGAGACTGTAGTTCTGAATAGGGCAAAAGTCACCCGCAGCACTTTGAGTTCTCAAGCCCTAGCTATCTTAAGGCAGCCATTTCCTGAATGAGGTTCATGAGCAGCCCAGCTCAAGAGGGAAGTGGAAGTCCTAACAGTGGCCAGTAGGGCACACCCCTCCCTGAACTGTTCTTCTCTCTCCTACTGGCCCCTCACTCATCTGCCCCTTCCCCTGCCCACTCATTTACCCCAGGCCATTGGCCTCTTCGCCCTTCCATGCTCACATGGGGCCCCTCATGCCTTAGAAACTTTGCATAGGCTGTTCCCTGTGCCTGGAAAGCCTTTTGCCTAGAAAGCCACACAGTTCACTCCTCGCCTCCTTGAAAACCCAGCTCACCTGTGACTGCAACAAGGCCTACTTACCCTGACCGCCTTATTTAGGATTGCAACCGCCCTGCCTAACCCCAGATCTCTTGGTCTCCTTACCCTGCCCTTGATCTTTTCTCCACTGCACTTATCCCCCTCTAACATACTATATAATTAACTTAGTGGTTGTGTTTATTGTTTATTGTCTGTTTCCTGCAACTCAGATGTAAGCTTTATGAGGGCAAGATTTTCATCTGTTTTTCCACTGATGTATCCTAAGTATTGCCTCGCGTGTTATAGGCACTCAACAGATATTTGCTGAATGAATGAATAAATGAGAAGAACCTGTTGTTTTATAGCTACAATAAATCGTAAGTAACTTGTAGGAAGGGACTATGTTTCATAATTTTATATTCCCAGAGCTCCTAGCAGAGCTGAACAAGAGTGCAGAGAAAATACTTAGAAGTTCTAAAAACTACTAATACTTCAGTCTTCCATAGTCCCTTCTTCTCAAGCACTCACGGAGCTTTGCACAAGTTATTTTATTTGTTTTCGTGCCAGCTGGTTCAACAGTTTCATTTCTACTTAGTGATGAGACTAAAGCTCAGAGGGACAATCATTACCAAACCATGAATAGAATTCCAGTTTCCCAGTTGCTGTTAACTGGACTGTGACCAAGTATAGAAGAAGGGACTTGTACTGGTTTAGAATCATATCTGCTATCAACGTTGATCCCTTTCTGACCTCCTTTCCTCCATGTCTTGGTCTGGGCCTCAAGCTGTCATCTTTCCTCTCTCAGGGATTAGTTTTCCTGCCATGGGCAGCCTTTGAAGCAGCTGTCATCAGAAGCTGCTTCTAAATTCAGGGTATAGTGCTTACCTGCACATTCCTGTTCAGGCTGACTGCAGGGAAGAACAGGCCCTCCACATTCTCAAATGCTATGGGGCCTTGCTGTTCATCGTTGATAAAAAACGTCAAGGTTTTTCTATTTAAGTCGAGGAGGACCCCAACTGTGGCCCCCTTGGTGATCCCCCCCTCAGTTCTGTGGGAAAAGAAAACAATTGGGTTTCACTTGCTTGTCATCATTCTAGAAACTCCCTTTCTGTATGGTTGAACCAGTGCTTCTCAACCCTTTAAAAATTATTGCCTTCCCCAGGACCCTAAACAGTTTTTTCCTAATCACTCCCCACCCACTGCATTAACTTTTAATAGCACAGATACACCGTATATTCTCTTATGCACTGTAAATGTAGCTGTGCATTATATATAAAAAGAGTGAGGTTTTTTTTTTTTTGGCCCCCACCAAAACCAATTCCACTCCTCCTTGGGGGAGATATTGCCCCCTGTTGAGAATGCCTGGGTTAAACCACAGCTGCTCTGCTGTTGCTGAAAGTGAACTCATTTATATAGGGTCTCGACCACTGAGCCACAGCACTAGAAAACAGAACACAAAAGACTAAAACAAACAGCCTTTGGACTATCAGAGTCCTGACCATAGCTATGTTACACACTTTGCACAAATGGTGTGAATTAAATATCATTAAATTCTAAATGACTTCATTTGAAAGTCAAAATAAAGAAGCACTTAAGCTGAACCTAAAGCATATGCATGAGAAATTGGAATTGGGGCCTTATGATACTCATTACATAGAAAAACTTATTCTGGAAAGATGGTAATTTTTTGACATGTTGATTTGAATCAAGAAGTTAGAGGCTATCTATAAAATGACAACATCCAAAAAGAAGAGGCTCCCCAGCAAAGAAATAATTACACTCTAGAAGGTACAGTGATTCTAGAGAATCTGCATACAAACACCATTTTACAAAGAATTGTGCTTCCATTGATGGTTTCACAAAGTGCCATTAAGCGTGGAAAAGCCTATTTGTCTTTTCTCCCTTCTTTGTGATCCAGCAATATCGAACTCCATCCTTCTCTCAGCAGAGCACAGACATTTAAAAGTGCTGTTAGTCTCCTCTGGCATGCAGAATACAGACTGCACATAGTCATTAAAAGACAGGTTTATGATTTGCATCTTGTTAATTCACAGGTTCAGCAATGACAGCACAAGTGACACGCATGCAGTTGGCATGCAAGCAGACATGTTAAGCTTTAAAAATGTGTTTCTCTGCATAGTGTGGCGATTGTGTTATTACCCACTCCTTCATTCCAAACTAAAGAAGCTAGAAGGGAAAGTAAGCATGGTACATGGGTGATGGTATCATGACTCTAGTGACAGAAGGTTCTACAAAACATACATCCCTGAAGATAACTGCTTATCTACATCTAGTAGAATTTGATATCAAGCTGAAGTGGTATGTGTGTTTACTCTGCGTGACAGTGAATAATGCAACCCTGGATGGAGATGTATAGAAAATAGCCAGGGGAAAGGAAGGGGAGGCCATAGGAGTCCTAATGGCTAGAGAAGGGTCAGTGCTGAGTGTACAGAGAAATCTGAGATGGTGGAGTCAGTTATCCAACCACCAGTTGGCTCGCTTTCCCCAGAGACACCAATGGGAACATATGTATCCTGGGGAAATCTTCAAGAATAAAATGGGCACTTCTCTGCCTAGGAAATTTGTGATGATCTATTTGAAGAGGGAACACAAACCAAATGAAAACAACAAAAAAGGAAGTCTAGGGAAAAATTTTAGTATGTGTTAAATCATAATTTCCTATATTTTGGTGGTAGAGAGAAACTCAAGGAGATTATTAGATTCTCTTTCCCCAGCAAACTGGGTGCTCTGAATTCATTCAATAATAAGAGAGTACCTCAAAGTATAAAGTTATCATAGCTGGCATCTATAAGATTTAATGAATGGCTATATTCAGAGTCATAGTATTAATAATAATCTTAATAAGAAAAACAATGGCTTCTATTTTTAGATGCCACCAATGTGCCAGTCAATGCATTAGGTATTTTCACATCTCTCATTTAATCTTCAGAATACTCCCTGCAGGAAAAAATACTATTACTCCAATTTGGTGGATTTGGAAATAGAGGTACAGAAAAATTAACTTGCCCCAAAGCACTTTTCTGGTGAACTATAGGCCTGGGTTTGGAATCCAGAACTGTTTTCTTTAATGGATAGGTATGGGATCCTTAGTTTCCAGCCATGGGTGGGTTATAGCAATGAGGGGATTGATTCATCGATGAGTAATAGAACCCCTGTGCTACTTAATGAAGACCACCCATTGGATTTCCTTAATTTGTCTACTTAATAAGTCTTTGAACTTGGCTTTTACTGATTAGACAGTTAACTTGCCTTGTAATGTCATTTGCCATTACGATACCAAGTATAAGGAAAGTGTAACACTAGGAATTTTGATAGCAACTAAAGGAACCATTTGGTCGGAGAGCCAAATCTTACAAACTTTGTTGTGGATATTTGAGAGCTCCTTGCTGAAGTGGGTGTTTGCGGCAAGAGATGAGGAAGACTGTGACTGGGGCTCTCATTCTTGACCAGAAGCCAACGTGAAGAAGGCTTGGTTTAGGGGCTGCAGGGTACCTGTTGGTGTGCGAGTTGTTGTGCATGAACCAGCTCCGGTTATTGTCCACATACATTGCCCAAGCTTTGTCGTCCTTTCCTAACATCACATCCTTCATCACGTCGATGCGGGCCACACCAAAGGCAGGGTCGGGGTGGTTGTCATAGCGATCCACAGTTAGCTCCCAGTAGTGGACGCCCTTGGAGAAGCCTGTCTTCCCCAGCACCACCCGGTCATCGTAGCTACTGCAGGTCACAGTCAGGTTGTCATTGGAGAAGATGATGTCAGAGTGTGCCGAGCCAGGGTCGAATGCAAACCAGGCCACTGAGAACAACAGAAGGGAACTGCGTTAGTAAGGCTGACTCAAGGAGCTCAACACCATAACAGACTCTTGGGAGGGTGAGGAGCGTTGTGTCCCATTTTCATGCTGCCATGCAGGAAGGAGGCGTCCAGAAGGGGCCGTAAGTGAGCAGACAGGGGCACGTCCTGGGAAGTGGTACTCTCTGCACCCAGAAGCAGACGGAGGACACACGACCGATTCAGCAGGGGTTACCTGACTCAGACTGCACTCCCAACCTGGTGATCCGGGAGTGAAGTGGCATCGATTTTGGAAGGTGCAAGTCCCTTCACCCGGTGACTGGCAGAACAGTGCACCAGAGACATAAAGGGAGAGGGGACCCGCTAAGACGCATGAGTAACCCCTTGAGGCAGGGAGGCTAGGATCTAGAGTCCTAGATGGAGGAGGGATAAAACACATGGAGTGAAATCAGGAAAGAAGCCTTCAGCAGAATGGCTAAAATCCAGTTGTTTGGAAAATTTCCTCAGCTCTAGTGAAAGCTCAGGAGCTTTGAAGCTATCAGCAACATAACTAATTTTAATGAGTGTTTGTGACTTGGACATAGGTTGGATTGCTTCTTTCATAACTTAACAATATATTTTGCATGTTATTCCTAAAACTAACAGGTAAGATATTTTGCTGGAGCAGTAGGTATTTTGGATATTAGGTGCAGGTAGAATGATGTCTTTGTACACGTTGTTATGCCCCAAGTTCTAAATGCCTTTTACAAATAACATACTCTGGAGAGATGTCATTGCTGATTTATTGTACCTGTGAGCCACCTCACATGCACTTTGGTCTTTGCTATATGTAACAAAATAAGGTGGTTCCATACCTGCCAACAGCTTTTTAATGTCAACTGTTGTCATTCCAAGTGAAAGGCATGGACGAGAGAAATAGGAAGCAAAATTGACATTGATAAGAAAACATGTTTCTTTTGATAATCTAATACCAAAAAGGGCTCAATTTAAAATGCTACACACACTACAACAGGTGGTCTGACTTGTACCTTTACCCACATTTAGTGCTTATAAAGGGTGCTTTGCATTGATGTATAAGAAAACTGGGGCAGGGGGAGGGGAGTTAGCTTCTTCGAGGTATAACATTAAAAAAATACAGGTACCATTTCCATTTTTTGAAGTATTTGAGCAATTGTTAGAATGGGGTTAGAATGACAATTAGACAATTTTATTGACATATAATAAGTTGCCGCCATTTATTTTGTGAAGGAAATTGAGCATACCAACCACGTAAGTAAAACATAACAATTACAATAAGTATACTTGCCTAATTGAGAGTAAGGTGCAGACTGTGGCTCAAAATTGCATCCTATAAAGAGATACTACACATCAAAGCTATGAAACAACAACCAGGTTGATAAAAAGCACCAATTGAATAGAGTCACAAGAGGCCTGATTCATTAAATACCAAAGCCCTTTTTGTGTTAGTTTACATTGCTGGGTAAAAATTGCTTCTTTTCTCTTTCAAAATGAAAAGTAGACGTTCTTACCATTTAATAAATCCTCCTCCAATTGATTCCAAACACTGCAGCTTAAATTTTCACCATTTTCCAAGTTTATTCTTTTCCACTAAAGGTTGCATATGAAGAAGGCTTATTGTTTTAAGAGGGAGAAACCGTCATCCAATTGAAATGGAGAAGTCGGTAGGTGTTGATAAAACTCCACACTACATCACTATTGTATGCATTTCTAATTCTGGCTATGCCAAAAGGCTTTGTTGTGGCTTGGGTCCATGTTAAATGATACATATATAACTGAACAGGTAATATAATCCACATATTAATAAATCCATCTGATGATTACTAATAATGACATGAATCGAATGTAGTAAAAAATATTGTCTCCTTCTTAGTCTATTTTACTACATCAGTCCTTCACCTGAGGGAGGGGAGGGGGACTGATGGGGATGGAAGTTGACTTGGAGATATATTAGAATCACCTGTGGAGATTTTTTTTAACTCTTCCTCCTTTTCCAAGATCTGGGTACTCCCCACCCCATGAGAACCTGCATCAGAGTTGGGGAAGGCAGGTGTGTGATCTACAATTTTGAGAGGTGTTGGGAACTGATGTGGAAATGAGCACTAGGAGGTAGAGAAAGGATCATTTAATTTTTTTTTTCAACTTAGTAAGGCCCTTCTATGCTAATTTCCAAAACAATTGAAGGATAATACCCAAAAACCCACTGCCATGGAGTCAGTTCCAATTCATAGTGACCCTACAGGACAGAAGAACTGCCCTATAGGATTACCAAAGCTGTAATCTTTACAGAAGCAGACTGCTACATCCTTCTCCCTCGGAGCAGCTGGTGGGGTTGGAACTGCCAACCTTTCAGTTAGTAGCCGAGCACTTTAACCACTGTGCCACCAGGGCTTGTGAAGGATAATACACTGGCTTAAAATAATTTTAGAAGGATTAAGAAAGCAACTTATTATAAAGACAAGATGAATGAGTAAGTTGAAAACAGAATTTAAAGATTATGTCCTTACTTTTGGTTAGTTTATTTTAGTCTGGGATGAATTAATATGCAAAAGAATCTTCTCCCAATTCATGGCTGATTTTTATGTTTAGTTTCTATCAATTGTCACGTTAATTCCTATTCATAGAGCTTAGTGACAAAAGACCGCTGGGAGTTTTAAAAAAACTGAATTTCATATCCAGTTTTGTAGAACCTGAATAGGGCTTTTAAAATTTTTACATGAATCATGCCTTGTGCAAATCTTTTTCAAACAAGTATTCTCAATATTTTTACACTACTTTAAACACACCATCATACATTTAAGATTCAACGATACAACTAGAACAATGCTATTAAACACACCCATTAAATATCCCCAACCCCACATTTCATTTTATTCTTGAGACAATATACATTACAAAGACTATAACAATATTTCAGTACAGTAGACACAGTGAAAAAAGTTCCATGACGAGGCATGTTTGAAAGCCAGTAGTGCACAGAAAAACAATAAGGAACGTAAAAGCACAAAGAAAAATGTCATTTTAAAGAGAGCTTGAAGTCCCTGCGTCCTTTTTGCACTGTCATGCTGTGGCCTTCTTCATTCCAGGATATGGGATGAGCAAAAATAATTAAAAAACAACAACAACAACAACAAAATAAACCTTTGGAAATGTGAAATGTGTATCATGTGTATCCATGATTACAATATAGTCCTGAAGAGATCAAATACGCCTGCATCTTAGATATTTTAAGATTCTATTTGCTGGACAAATAGAATCAGCCCTAAAGCCCTGTCACCACCTGTGTGGCTGTGGGAAACTTCGAGGAGGTCAGACTTTTAGATTACTAGGATCTTTGAGAGTTAGGCATGTTACCGGGTTTCTAATTCAGTTTGTGGCGGCCCCTCCCCTTTGTTAGGCAAGAGAATCAGCCATGAGCACCACGGACTTTCCTGCCAGTGAGCACAGGCTTTTGCAGAAAATGTTTTTACTTTTTGCTCTCTGGTTTGCAAGGCTTTGCAGGATGCATTCTGCTGTTGGCGTGTTTTTATTTTTTTCAGTAAAGATCTCTTGAGTCTATGTTTAATCAGACCACTCCAGTCTGGATGCACTGATCCAGTCTCCCCGGCACGCTGGATTCTTGGATACAGCAGGGTTGCAAGCCTGCAAACCACTGCCCCAGCCTTCACTCAGCCCGCACCTGTGCCGTGCTATGCCATTGCATGTGATGACAGAGCGGGTTATCCATGGTGGTACCAGCTTGTGCAAAAAGAACAACTTCACTCGTCACTTTTCAATGCCATTGTACATCGACTACAGCTCAATGGTTGGTCGTAACACCACACAAACAAGAACACACAAAGCCCCATCATCCAAATGCTCCTCATACCGGAAGCAGGCCACAGACACAGAGACTAGCTCATCCCCCCTCTCCACGCACATGGATGGCAACAACAAAACACGGATTTCAGAGATGCCTTACGGCACAGAGATCAAGAGCAAAGGTCAGACGAGCTCAGCTCACCCAGTGCATTGAGAGACTGTAAAGAGGAATGCAAGCTCAGCTGGTGAGGTGAGGATCGGAAATCAAAGTAGGATCTCCCGGGAAAGCTGGGCTGTAGATTAAGGGTGGAGGAGAAAGGACTCATTCTACGTAGCGGCAATCTTTCCGAAGGCACTGGAAAAGGGAGGGTCTGTTCTTCTGAGTCTGTGTCTAAACGTAAGAGCAACGCAAACTAGAGATCAGAACTCTGCTACCTGCCCGTGTACGGTTCCCCAAGACCTGCCTGACCAATGCATCCACACAAAGCCTCACATCCACCCCGGAGGTGGCCACAACCAACATCGCTGGGGCTAGGAGGGCCTTCTCAGCAGGCCAGGACCCAAACCAGAGGATACCACAAACATCATAGGCAACTGTTTGCATTTCCCCCAATTTTTAGGTCATAGAAAAGTATTTTGAAAGATTTTCTTTAATTAAATATTTTGAGTTGAATTTAGAAACTTTAGAGGTAAATTTTAACCCATTGATAACCAGGAGATTAATACCCTATCCCCTTCAGTTATCTCAGAAATGACTACCTGCACGATAACAGCCTCTTAAAGGGTTTCTATTTAAGTGGTGATGATTTTTATAAACTGTTTGCTCTTTCATATTTTCCCATTTCTCTCCTAATACTTATATTTTCCCATTTCTAAATGTATGAGATAATTTCCTATACTAGCACACTCAAGACTTTATCTTTAAACAGGAGAGGAAATATAGGGTGGCCTAAGGAAGACAGGGCTGAGCAAGTAGTCAGGGAAAGAGCCTTACCTTTATTTCTGAAGTATGATCAGACCCCAGGGACCTCACTTGAATATCTCTGGCTCTCTTAACAGTAAACAGACTGGGGGACAATGGTGAGGTGCATTGGTGGCAAAATGTCTGTGTATTTTAGATTGCCAGATTTGGCATGAGTATCACTATTATGTTAGAGTAAGGAATTACCAATTACTTGATTGGGTTT